TATCTGACGGGTTCGTAGCTTGGTGCGAAAAATGGCAACTAACTGATGATGCCGGCAAAAACGTTTGTGAATGTACCAAGTCCACTGTCTGATGCTAGGAATCATGACAATTACTATGGCCGACTTCGGAATAGGTGCGTTCTACTAAGTCGCCTTGACAACAAGTTGCGACGAGGTCAACACACTTCATCAAATTGGTTTCCCAAAGGATTTTAATGGCCCCTCTAATCTTCCATTTATAAATACTTTAGCCGTGAGAGGACCTTCTTTCTGTTGCCTTCCAATTGACCGCGTATCCAGTCTCTGCGATGTGTTCCGCCATATATGACCATTCAGTATCCATTTTCGCAGTCGCCGTATGCTATGCAGTAAATTCCCGAGCAACCCAATTTGTCCACTCTCTCATATTGCGTGGGTATACTTACAGTGCTGTTTTTTTCCTTCTTGGTCACCTGAATATTCCATTTTATTAATATTGGCCGTAGTTTTTGAGCTAGTTCGCAGGAAGAAAGACACCCACTTTTGTGAATCTTTCTCCATCTTTATCTTTCTTTCATAAACCCCGTCTTTACATCGGCTCTTTGCAATTAGTATGTTTCTTTATATTACTTGTCTCAAGTATCCGTTACCGAGGAATATCCAAGTTAATTTTTCCAATTATTCATCCCAGAATTCCACGATTAACAGACAAAAGGGTACATCTCTTGTGAAATATAAAATATCAGAAGTTGTGATAGGAGAAGAGCGAGACAAGAGGGTGGGAAATGGAGAGATAAGTTAGGACAGAACGAGTAATAGTAAAAATTTTTCGACAGAAAGTTGGTAAAGGAATTGACTTTACTTGTCTCTTTTGACTAGTTGTAGCATAGTACTAAAAATGGCAAGACTCATTGGCGATGCCGGTGAAACGTCTGGGAGTGTACCAAGTCAATGGTCCGATGATGGATATTAGACTATACAGATAAAGAAGATTGCGACCAAACAGAAGGCCACACTATATTGGTCTTCATATCTACGATTTGCCAATTTGTGTTGCCCCATACTTGTTGGTAAACAGCCTCATTGGTTCGCCCTATTAATTTAACTTGGGTAATCAGTAGGCTGCTGGCGGCCATGGATCCTTTCTTGTTATTGAATTTATCATTCATCCATTAATCTCGTCGTTCCTATGCATATTTTTCAGCATGTGCCGTAGTGTCCCATTGATCCTCATAGTTGGGTCCTTTTTTAGTAGCGTCTCAGGGCATAAATTCGATCTTGTCGAACCATTGTTTCTTGTTAAGTACCAATGTCGCTCCTTCTTTATTTGCCTGAAGGGCTAATTGTTCATTCATTTGTAGGGTCCTGCGCATCCTAGCAAATCCGTTCCTGTCCATTGGCTCCTATGTCGATATTATTTGGATTATTTGTCTCCATTTCCTGTTTTGTCTCTCCACCGAACGTGTCAGAGATATTGATGATCTTTACAAGGGTGTCTTCTAGAACATGTATGCCATTCCGAAGAGACGAGGCGTCATCTAAAAGCATAGGAATCAGAGCCCTGGCGCTCTGCTCGGTTAGGCGACAATGTAGATGCTACTAAAGGCTTAAGAAGTAGCGCATGGAATGAAACGTATACTTGGAATTAAACAGAGTTAAATCAGTCAACTATAAAGATAAGAAACGGATCTACGGGCCCATGAAGATGTGGATAGGAGTTCGAAGTCGGATCGACAAATCTAGAGGGATGGGAGTAAGGTAAACAACAAATGTGATGACGTCAAGTTAAATTCGGCAAAAAGGGAATACCTTTCGAGAAGTGGATTATAAATAAATCCTAAGTTGTGATAAGGTGGTAGTGAGGGTAGGGGGTAAACAGATGCCCCTGGACATAAAAAGGAGTGGTAGCACAACCCTTCAATAGAAAGTAGGTCAATGGGTTGACTTGTGTCTCTGACGAGTTGTAGCTTGTTGCTGAGAATGACAAAATTCAATAACTATGTACCCACCTGATAGCATATTATTTCAGTTCGAGCGAATTCATTTTACTTCTGTTCTCCAAGTTATTTTTTCTCTAGCATAGGCCTTGCACCATGTGGTCGACAAACCAAGCATACATATAGGGTTAAAGTAGGATTCATGAAAACCGTAGTAATAAGGTTCTCGCTCCTTGTAGAAGTTAATCACGGAGAGAAGGAATTAAGGTTAATTATAGTCTATGACAACTTATCCACTAGAGCTAATTGTCAATTATTTCAGATTATTGCTAAATAGGATGAAGAGAAACATATAGGAGGCTATATAGACAGGTATATAATTCTACCAGTCATAACGATGTCATATAGCCCTCTCTCAAAAAAGGCAGCCAAATGATTTAGAAGTGGGATATGAGGACAATGCAGGAGAAAATAAAACTTTCATCATCGATAAAGAAAAAGGGTTTCGAAAAATTCCTTATTGACTTATTTTAAAATGAATTTTCATTTCGAAGGAAAAGTTGATTGGAAGGAATTCTTTGCAAGGCCGATGACTCGTTCGTAAAATCTAAGTCTTCACTTGAAGGCAATTTTTCGGTTTCCGGTAAGACCAATTCATGAATTCCTTTCAACCAATTTCTCCTTCGAAATGGAAAGTCATATCACAATTCTTCATTAATGTCATATTTTCTAATCTTTCCCAACTTGGGCTCTTACACGGTTTTGTGATCGTGTGATAGAGTTTAGGTTGGGGAGACCTGCCGTACTCTAAAAAAGGTTATCTGAACATAAAACAGCCTACAAACGTTTGTGGGTCCAAAAATCAGAACTTGTCGAACATATGGCTTACATACTACATCATAGAGACCCTGGATATGGGGACTATGCCAGTAATTGGAGGCCTTCGCCTTGAACAGAAGGGATTAGTTTAGTCAGATTAGGAAAGAGAGATAACAGGAAACGCCACCGAGCAAGAGGAGGCTTGATCGGCTTCAGGTCGTCTTTACTTTCACACGTAACACGACCAACGAGAATTTCAGTCAGCACACTTGCAATTAACGCAATTGTATGATCAAAAAATAGAAGTGATTTGTGGAGGATGAGCTATTCGTTCACAATTGCATCCACCTCACTTGTCATTCTCAGTCACTTCTCTTTTCAGCAAGCATGTAGGGAAAGCATAGGTTGGCAAATCATGAGATTCACGGTTTGAGTCCCGCTTGGTGCTGAGGGCAATCCTAGCCGGGATGAGAATAGCTTTTTGAGAGCAAGGCTATTTGGAATTCAAAGGAAAAATCAGTGGGAAAATTTAACTACGAGTCCTTTATCACTTTAGACGAACAATGGTAAATACGGATCAGTACCATATTCAGACAAGTTTCTCCTTGTTACAACCCGGGCTATTTTAAAAACTGCAATTCTACCAATACATAAGCAGTGTATTCATGTATTAAGAAAATACGGCAAACATTTGTAGATAAATATGCGGAAACATAGAACTAAAAACCAACATTCAGCAAAAATAACAGGCAATACCAAAGTAAAGGAGTAAAAAATGTAACATAAATCCTGAGTAGAATCGAATCTTAAATACAGTGATTAAAATAAAGGACAAAGAAGGGTTACTGGTTAAGGTCGGGTTTCACAATAAGTGTATAATTGAGAGGAATAAAGCGTACACTAAGACATTCAAGCAGAGAAACACGAATGGAGTAGTATATTAGACAGGATGCGGGTGTAGTATTGGTATCACCTTAGACGTCGACTTCTGGTCTCGACGCCAAGTGGTGGCCCTGACGAAATGACTTCATTGTTCCGAATAGCTAGCCTCTTTTTCGGAACCTCAATTGGGGCCTCCTCGAATGCCCGCTTTCTTTTCTTGGAAGTTGAAACAGTAATACAAGACAAAGTGGTTTCTGGTCGGTCAGAAACAACGGAAGAAAGACCCAGCCTCTTGGATGACATATCTGTTGATGCCTTGATTGATCGTTGGACTTTAGTCTTAGACATTCGTGATTCACGTGCAGGCCTCGGCTGTGCCTCTACATCCGGACTGTCATTAGAAGAGACTGGTTTCAAACTACTGGGTTGTTTGCCTTGCCGTTTAGAAGACCGGAGGCTACGACTGGAAGGGCCTATGAGGACGGGCTCTGGATGAATTAGTGAATGCGTTGAAGTTTCACTAGTCAATTTACGACGACTTCTGCCAGGAACCGAATGCACCTACGAAAAGTAAAATTAATAATTATGAGGCAGACAGGCAAGACATAAAGAGAAAAGGAATCTACCTCTGGCCTAGTCAAGTGGGTTTTTGGTGAATCCGGAGATAAGTTCGAGGGCTCGATAAATTTTAAAGATGCTTCCCGCTTGAGTCGTTTAGCGGCTTTTAAGTCGCTCTTTGAAGTTAGAGAAGATGCCATGTTCTTAGGTTTGAGTGAGCGCTGTGAGATCACAGACATTTCCCCCGAATTTGAGGTACGAAGAGCAGGAAATATATCTTGATTCTGCTTAGAATTTGAAGTTAGCCCAGTTAGGAAGCTTGATTCCAAATGTGGCAATGCCAGAGACTTGGATAAACCTTTTCGCGTGCGCGAGCCTATACCGATGTCGGCTGTTTTAGAAGAGGTAGATTTCCTCAATCGTTTAGAGGGAACTAGGTTGTCTTTGATTGAGGACAAATGAATACGGGATTTGGCTTGCCTCCTCCTACGAGGAGTCTTTATTGATTTTTCCTGGTCGTGAAGGGTTGAAGAAACTGAAGAGTTGATGATCGGGCTAGATTTAGACTCCAATATTTGATACCTGACAGGTTTCTGGCGAGTTCGCGTTGTTTTTTTCGGTGGAATGTTAGCATCATTAACTGACATTTCAACCTGAGAAGAGTCAATCAAATTAACTGTCAAAGGGTTAGACTCTGATCCCCGAGGCTGAGGCTGACGTCGCATACATGGTCTCTTAGCTGACTTAGGGCTAGGGTCAATCTCTGAGTTGTCACGTAAATCTGAATGCGAAGATCCAATAGTCATCCGCTTTTTCAATGAGCATTCCGACATTTGGGCGATGAATGGGCTTTTTTTTGCAGAATTTAAAAGTTTAGAAGCCATTGGAGAGTTGTCATATTTTGCGATGGGCTAAAACATAAAGGGTAGACAATATAAAGTGTAAAAAACTAGAATTAAAAGGATAAATGGAAGTCAGGATAAGGCATTTGTAGTGAGATGAGTCGAACCT